GAGAGGGAGGCAGGCAGGAAGGAAAAGATCTATTTCCTAAAAAATGGGGGCAAGTCAGTTTCTCATTTGGCAGCATACATGCCAAAATAAATTAGTTTGGTTCACACCACTGCTTGGCTTTCAGCCATGCTAAGGGATTAATAAAATTAAACCCTGTTTCATTTCCATAATTAAAAGAAAAGCAATTAAACTAAGCAATTATTTCAATATTGGCTGGCCACATAACTGACAATCACTCTACAAAACAAACCACTATCTTAAATGACACAGACAGACTCAATATGCACAACTTAATGTACAAAGGAAAACAATGTAGACAATTTGGATGATTTCCAGTGTGAGTGACTGTTTAAGAGACTGCAGCTACTTCTATCATAAAGAAGTACTCAAGTCTGGACTCTGTGGACAAAGCAGCAATCAGGAAAGGTGCACTCATTGCAAAGCAATGCCCCTTTCCCAGCCCTGTACTGATTGGGATGAATCCAAGCTGCTACAGGTAGAAAGGGGAACCGAGAGTACCAGCATCACAGCTGTTTACTTCTGCACCTGTCTGAAACAGCAGGGCATAGTCCCTGAGGAGGAGCATACCCGAAATAAAACAAAACCCCATATTCTAAGTATAACTTAGAGCAGAGTTTGCTGTTTTATTTTGTTGCTTGAGACAGGGTTCCACCACAAAGTTCAAGCCGGCCTTGAACTCGCTACGTAGACCAGGCTAGCCTTGAACTTGAGGCACTCTTCCTGCCTCAGCCTCCCCAAGTCTAATACCACACCCAGAAAGCTATTTTTTTTAGGAGGAAAAAAAGGCATTTTAACAGGAAACAAAACAGAAAACAAGTATATGGTATCTCTAAATAATGAAAAGGTTAAGGTGTTCATCTAACCACAAATTAGTTACATTATATATACAAATTAATATTATACAATACAAGGTAATGTATACATAAATTATAATATTCTTTATGAAGGCATTCTAAATAAAGACAAGAAAACTATTTGTATTTATGTGTCCCAGATATGGAGAAGGAGATAGTTGAAGGATACTTTCTCTACTTAGACTTGGAGTGTGATCCAAAGGCTGCCTGAAGAAGATCCCCATGAAAAAAATTACTGCCAGGAATGGTGGTGCACTCCTATAATCCTAGCACTTAGGAGGCTGCAACAGGAGTATTGCTTCAAGTTCAAGGCCAGCCTTGGCTACATAGCAAGACCCTTTCTCAAAAAAAATAATTATGCTAATAAGTTATGAAACAAAACTTTAAAACAATCAGCAAGAAGCCACAGACAAAGCTTCTTAGTGCTTTTTCAACGTTGAGTCTGTACGTAAATTATCAGAAGAAAGCAAATCAGGTTTTACCTCAGGAGGCCTGTCTGAAAATTTAAAGTAAAAATCTTAGCTACTATTAACTGTCTAAAATTTCACTCTCAGTACCTGGGTCAGATTTGTTAAAGCTCACGCCATGAACCTCAGGTGCATCATTCAGTTTGACACACACAAGCGGGCACACATACACGCACACACACCAATGGCTTTGGCTTGACAGAAATCAGTATTCTTTTGAGGAAGTGTGCAGATACCTTGACAATAGGAAAGAGCAGCAAATGAGAAATGAATCCCAAGGTACCCCAACTTTCTGTCAGCGCACAACTCATTCTAAACATAATGCAAAACACTTGGTCTTACCGGAACTGCCAGTCTCCCTTTTCCAGCAGGAACCTTCACTGACATAATCAAAACACCAGTGAAGAAACATAATATACTTCCAGATCAGAAAAGGTTAAGCACAACATCACAGCAAGCCAGGAGGCAATGAGATATGTACCTAGTAATAATCTATAATGAGTTTGATTTTTGTGAGTGTGTTTTTAAAGTCTTTAAATGTAGTAAAAGAAGAAGTTCAAAATTTTCTCTAGATAACTTGGGTGTTTCAAGTACTTGATTGTATCTGATTCCTGAAGTCAGAACAATTAGATTTAATCCAACCCGCTAATTTTACAGAGAAGAACATTAGAGCACTACAGGATTAGTCAGTTCACCTAGCAAGTTAATGGTGGAACCATGAACCAAAGCACTCAAATTCAAGTTCCCTCTCCCCGAGAACTGAATCAAATTCAATGGTTAGGTTTAATGTTGCCCTTATGGGGAAATTTGATTTGGTTCTTGTCCAATTCAATGTGCAGCCAGAATCATGGAAAAGAATTAAGTTCGTGAAGCAAGGTATCACTGGATTATAAATGTTGGCAATGTTCATGAAAGCTGGCGCGAGATACACTTAGAAAGATTATAATACTCTATGCATCCAGTTCAGCACATCTGACACAGTGGTTTTTGATCTTCCTTTTGTGATATTCTGCCCACCTTCTGAACATAACGTCTGGATGATGTACAGTACATACCTTGTTGAGTAATAGATGATTCAGGCTCACTACACAGTCCCTTCTTCCCACTAATATGTTCCTAATCTCACAAGTATCACCTTTATCATAGACTAGATTAGCAATTTTCCAAGTGTGGCCTGTGGGCTCTTTGAGGATGGTAGAAGGTCAAGCAGTTTCCATAATGAGACGTTACTAGCTGCTTCACTGTTTTTATTTGCACTGATGCTACAAGAAGGTTGGTGGTGTTTTCACATGAATTGAGTACCAAACTAGTAGGTGCTGTATTCACTGACTCATTTAC